GGCAGTCAACCTGTATATATATATTATAAAAATTTAACATATAATAATAAAATATTATAATATACAATATAAAATAAATATATAATATATAAAAACAAATCGTAAAAAATATAATAATAAATAACCTATATAATAAGTAATATCACCGCGGCTTTGGATTAAGGCCTGCAGCCAACTCACATTATACTTATAAACCAAAACTAGCACTAATACTGTCACAAGATTTTAATTCCCTCCAAAGCATGTATAGTATAACCACTGTTCTAGCACCAGCTCCTCACAACAGAATTCCACCATGTCTCATGACGCTGAAATTCATCACAATGAAGTGAACTGCTGTTGAGGCCATGGTAAAAACAGCCCACACCAGCTGTTCCATCCTTTAATCCCCTTTATGTTATCCAAAATCTCAATCTTAGCCTCAAAGAAAAATGGCCAAAGAATATCTGAATGTAGCAAAACTCCTGGAGCCAAACTTTCAGACCTCCCTTTGTTTTTTGCCACTGTAAGCACTGTTTTTCCAATAAGTGCAGTGATACGAAGTATGTTGGCAAGGATTCGACTGTATCAAATCAACTAGGGTGGCAGATGGGGAAAAAAAACTTGTATGTGTCTGACAACCAGCCTCATAATGTGAAAACAGGACACCTGACTAAACCCTGAGCGGCTCATTTCAACAATGCTCAGGAGACTTCCTGTCCACTTTGAGATGTCCTGAGACTCCTAGTCTCCAAGGAGAAACATAGTCAACTAAGTTCTAGACCAAGTCTTTAATTATGGAGTTAAAATATAGCACAATGGAGTTTAAATATGGAGGCCTGTCTTAAGTATTTTTATAATTTCTTCATTAATAATGTCATTCTTGCCATTTGGGAGTATGGGATTGTTTCTTTGCTATACTCTCTTGGTGAGAGAGGGGCTGGGGGTGTGGGCAAGGTTGGGAGGGAGGGAAAGAGGAAGGAAGGAAGGAAAGGAAGGAAGGAAGGAAGGAAGGAAGGAAGGAAGGAAGGAAGGAAGGAAGGGAGGGAAGGCAGGCAGGCTCCTAATAGAGAATAAATCACAACCTTACATTTAAAAAAAGAAAAAAGAAAACCCCTCCTTAGCATATAATATAAATCACAGGCCTGTTTTATTGGACACGTCTCACACAAGTGAAGTATGACGAAAATTAGGGTGTGTGAACCATAATCCCATCCATCACACATGAACAAATACACACAGACACAAATAATACCCACTCCCTCTCCCCTATCCCTGTCCCCACCTCTAAAGGCCCCTCCTCACCCCACTGCCACCACACATAACACACACTTACTTCACACCCGCAGACTTTGCTTGTAGGGCACTGCTCCAGAAATCATCAACGTTGTCTGGTTCAGAGAAGGCCTGAAGGCAGGCACTAAATGGGATCTTGGCACGCACCAACTCAGGAAGGGGTCTTCTGTTTGCTTCTGCTTCCCTTCTCGTTAGTTCATAAGCGATCAGTTCATCTGAGGGAAAGAGCAAATGAATGACCTTGCAATTGCTCTTACCCTACGGAAATGAAAACCACCCTCTTTGAACAGTCTTCCCTGAAGGCTTCTGGGCTGGGCCAGGGTTGCTTATTTGTTGTCCTTTACAGAGCCAGATGCGCCTGCTGAAAGGCTGTTCTGGGGCTGTCTTTAGAGTTGCACCGACAGGTGGCATTGAGCCATTCACATCTTTTTGCGTGCTCCCCTTTGAGACTGACAGGAGGGAAGTGTGAGCTTGGCCTGGCCTGGGTGGGTGAGAGGGTCAAACCATGAGTGTGATATAAATGCCCAGGAACCTGGTTTGTCCAAAGGCCAATCCTGGGTTTATTCAAATGCCATCCTCCCAAAACAAGGCCTTCACATCAGAGTATTTTATAGCCAGTAAAGGTCCAAGGGCTAACCTCTTCCCAGTCCTTCACTGCCTTACTGAAGAACTGAGGCCCAAAGTCAAAACCAGCCAATTACTGACAAAGCTGGACTTCAAACCCTGATCAGCACTTCCTCCACAACCCAACAGATGAGGCCAGAAAGAGATGTTATATTGTGTAAGGGGATCAATTTTTGCCAATGATCACACACATAGACAGAAGTAACAAAAACATTCCTGTTAACTCTACGCTATTTTAAAATAAAAAAAACAAAGACAAAAAAAAAAAAAAAAAAAAAAAAACACTGCTAAGTGCCTGACAAGAACCAAGAACCAGATCCGGTGTTATACATTTTCTGATTTGGTTCCACCAGCAGCTATGATTAGAGGTCATGGGTCCCACAGAGGTGTGAGGCCAAGGAGGAGGATAACTACAGGACTGCAGTTAGCCACCATCACACACCCATGACAGTAACCAACACTGCCAAGACAACTTCCTGTGGAGGTTACCCAACACCTCAGACATAGGGCTACCAACCTCGAAGGCCTCTGTGCTATTCCTACTCAAATGATTAAATACAAAGGGAAAAAGAGGAAGCTCCCAAGCACCAGCAGATCTGGTCCTGGAAACTAGCCTGTAGTCAAAATTTTATATAGATTTGAATGGCCTTTCTGGTCATTTCTTTTGTATTACCCAAAAAAGACAAACAAACAAACAAAAAAAACTCCTGATTTATCAGTTTGTAAGTACACTTACGCACATATCTGTTTTCCTAAACACATCTTAGATGCTTTTAAAATTCATTCCCCTGTCCCCAGTCAGTTTATGATGTACTTATATCTAGGTTGCTAACATTAGATATTCCCAGCAGTCAAATTCCAGAGACTAAATTATAAATCTCCTTTCTGAAAAAAAAAATAGTTATCACTAATAAATGATAAACAGAATTAGAAAAGACCATGGACCTGAGCAGACATGTGAGTCAGTAACCCTGAGGTAGACAAGAGAAACCACTGAAGCCTAGTTCTAACAAGGAAACAAACAACAGACTCCCATTCCCTTGTTTCTACACTGGAAAGATTTTGAAATTGATCAAAAACTGCATGAGCATATAGAAAATGAAAATCATTTCATCTCAAATCATCATAATCATCACTTTTCAGTTAACATCATAAACTGACCCATGACTCCCCACACACAAGAAAGAGGAAAATGGGCCATTCAGGGATTTGCTGAACTTTTTTTTCTTTATTCTAAAAAAAAAAAAAAAACACAGGATACATGTGCAGAACGTGCAGGTCTGTTACACAGGTATACATGTGCCACGGTGGTTTGCTGCACCTATTGTCTTGTCCTCTAAGTTCCCTCTCCTTTCCCTCCACCCCCAAGAGGCCCCAGTGTGTGATGTTCCCCACCCTTTGTCCATGTGTTCTCAATGTTCAACTCCCACTCATGAATGCGAACATGCGGTGTTTGGTTTTCTGTTCCTGTGTTAGTTTGCTGAGGATGATGGCTTCCAGCTTCATCCATGTGCAAAGGACATAATCTCATTCCTTTTTATGGCTGCAGAGTGGAATTGCTGAACTTTACTAAAATGACTGGTTCACAGGAGATGAGCAATCCAGCAGCTATTTTATCTATTTTGCTTATATGATGTTAATTCAAAGAAATGCCATTTGTCTATTCTGCCTAGGAAGAACCAGATTAGACTGATGGAAGGAGAAGGCACCAAACATGAATGCCACATCTCTGCCTCCTTCTCTCTTCCAAAGTCCAGAGACCCTTCTAATGGGCTTTGCCTTTACAAAGAACCCTGACACAATTTATCTCCCAGAAGAGGTGGCTGAAATACTCATGTGCCAAAGCCGGATTATTTCAAGAGACCTCTGCTCGAATGTCTAACTTTAAAAAATACAGTCCTGATCATTTCCCTCAGACTTTATAGCACAACTTATAAATGACAGTGTTAAAGAATTTTCTACATATATCATTACCAATAATTTTCCCCAAAATTATGGTGACTCCATACTCAGTAGTTGGCCAAATTTATAGGCAGTGAAGTAGGTTCGAACCATAACGCCTCCATAAAACCTGTGATGCATTTGATTCTTCTCAAAGGAAAAGTCACATGGGAACTAACAAAGAGATGAAAAGAGATGAGCAAAGCAGACATCATCTGGGCTGGGTCTACTCCTGACACACTTCAGTGAGTAAACGATTCTCTCTGATTCAAGGGTTTTCCCATATGAAGGCACACAGTACTAACTTCCCGCTTTGGAATTGTTACCCTTGTTGGTTGCCGCCTCCATGGCCACAGGTAACTGCATCAGGTAATCCACCCTCTCCGTGTAGCGGACTTTCCGGGTCTGACAGCACTGAATGCGTTCTTCCACCAAAAAACGAAAAACATCGCTTGGGTTTTCCGAGCCGATGCGGTTCCTCTGAAGGATGGATTGTATCAGGTTAGTAAATGCTTGAATATTGAGCCACTAAGACTTACTAGAAAATGAACTCTAAACCTGGTGTAAACAGTTGGCTTTATTAAACATTTCCTCTGGGCATGCCCATTCACCAATGCACTTTAATAGCAAAACACGGGAATTTATCTAAAGTCCAAAAATGGGGATTGGTAAAATAAAATACAGTTCATCATGGATTACTACGTCAATATTATTAAATTAAAAACCATGGGAGAGAAATTCATAGAATGAAAAGAAAGGAGGAGGAGAAGCCAATCAAAAGAGAAAGGGAAAAAAATAAAGGGCTGCCCCAGAAAAATGAAAACATGTACAATATGATTATATAAATACACTCATATAAATTAGGTACAAATAAAACAGAAATCATGCTCTGTTAACAGATGTAACGATGTGGCAAAACATTTAAGTGAAAACGCTGCTTACGGAAGGGCATGTAGAGAATTAACATAAGACCTGGAAAGTGACGGGAGGGGCAGATGCCAAACTGTGAACACTGGCTGTTGGCCGGGCACGGTGGTTCATGCCTGCAATCCCAGCACTTTGGGAGGCAGAGGCGGGTGGATCATCTGAGGGCAAGGAGTACGAGACCAGCCTGGCGAAGACAGGGTTAAACCCCTTGTCTGATAAAGAATGTTACAAAAAACGGAGCCAGCGGGGGGGTGGTGCGCACCGGAATCCGCAGTGAGCGCCAGGAGCCGAGGGCGAGGAGAATCGCGGGGAATCGGAAGGCGAGGTTGCCACGTGGGCCCAAGATAGTGCCCACTGCACTACAGCCCTGGGCGGACGAGAAGAAGAAA